AGTGCCACCTCATGTGCGTGCCAGCTGACCCCATTGCCTTCACCCCTGCTGGCGTGATTTTCTTAGCCCCCCTTTGTGTGTGAAATTATTTTTTTACTTATTTGACTCAAATCTGCATCTAATTAGATGCAGATTTGTTAGCGACATGAACACATGAAAAACAAAGTATTATCCAGCAATTCACTTTAATAATAAATAACAAACGTTGCTGAATAAAATAAGTATCTTAAACATAAGCCTTCCTGCTTAACTTAAAACTCAAAAAAATGAATATAAAACAATAAATAAATAGTGCACATTTTTGGTGCCACAGCAAACCTTTGCAAACCTGTAAACATATTTGTGTTTTAAATGCAATGACTGTAGGCTACAGTTGGAAAACAGAAAGGAAAAAAAAATCATTAGCTCAATGCCACATAATGTAGCTATAGCCGACTTTTTCCACTTGTATTTTCTCTGAGCTCTTGCAGCAGTGAGGAGTTGTTTGTCTTTGAGTGGATGATGGGATGCTGAGAACAAAGGACACAGCAGCCTGGATGCTGGGAAGGTCACCTACTGAAGAACCTCCATCCACCTCTCTGCTGTTCCTTTGGACTTCCAGGATTCCTTTTCCTGAATGAGGAGCTCCACAAGGCTGGTTGCAGTTACATATTCCTCAGCATTTAAATTCCTCCGTTCGTCCCCCATATTGCTCTGTTGTCTCCCGCTATCTTCTCAATGAGCAACACTTGGCTCGACCAATAGGATTACGGGATTCTGGATCGTTGCATATATGTTGTTAGTTCATTGGTCACAATGGACTTTGAAGCAAAATGCTAGAAAACTGGAGAGAAAATATCGCTCCTCAGGCCTGTGGGAATCCTACCTAGTCTGGAAAAATGATATACTGCTGTATAAGAGGACCCTTTGTAAAGCAAGAGCAGCATATTTCTCCTCATTAATAGAGGAGAATAAGAATAATCCTAGATTTCTTTTTAATACAGTTGCCAAACTCACCCAGAGCCATAGCTCAGTTGAACCGTCCATTCCACCTGCTATTAGCAGCAATTATTTTATGGGATTCTTTATAAATAAGATTGATCTTATTAAAAATAAGATCATTAGCACTCCTCTATTGGTTTGTTTCTGGAGGGTTGGGCAGCATCTGAGGTAGTCATGGAATCTGAACCGGGTTTAGACTGCTTTGATCCAGTTGAACTTTCACAGCAAAACTATTGTCTTCATCTAAGCCTTCAACTTGGATGTTAGATCCAGTTCCAAGCAGGTTATTTAAGGAGGTATTCCCTTTGATCTCCTCCTCCATTCTAGATGTGATTAATCTATCTCTGTTACAGGGATATGTACCAAAGGCTTTTAAGGTTGCTGGAATGAAACCTTTGCTTAAGAAACCGTCTCTTGACCCCGATGACTTGGTCAATTATAGACCGATATTCAATCTTCCTTTCTTATCTAAAATTCTTGAGAAAGTAGTTGCCAAACAAGTTTGCGATCACTTCCACCATAATGAACTTTTTGAAGAGTTTCAGTCTGGCTTTAGAGCTCATCATAGCACTGAAACAGCTCTGGTGAAAGTCACTAATGATATTCTCATGGCCTCAGATAATGGACTTGTATCTGTGCTCATCCTGTTGGATCTCAGTGCTGCATTTGATCCAGTTGATCAGAATATTCTTTTAGAAAGACTTGAATATTTTGTTGGAATTAAAGGAACAGCTCTAGACTGGTTTAAATCTGATCTATCTGATCGATTTCAGTTTGTTCATGTTAATGACAGATCTTCCTCATGCTCAAAGGTTACCTGTGGAGTACTGTAACGATTAGGGTTGCGTTTAAGCAAGGAGAGGGCGGTCAAAAACTCACAGCCACAATGGTACTGGGAATTCCACAGTGTCATACTCGCATGCACATTCAGAAGATATGAAGCATAGTCAGAGATGGCAAAAGTACTCACTTTCCATACTTGAGTAAAAGTACAGATACTTGTGATAAAAAATACTCTGGTAAAAGTGGAAGTACTGATTAAACTTCTTTACTCAAGTAAAAGTAACAAAGTACAGGCTTGTAAATTTACTTAAAGTATAAAAGTAAAAGTAGAAACCACTTTTTTCATGCCGTTGCCTACATTTTAAATGGATGTCTGCCAATAGGACTAGATCTCCGTTGTGTTCATTTTCAATCATCTCGTCGTCCATGCTACTATGCTAACGCCACCGCCACCAAGCTGCAATGATTTGCCGCCAATGAATACCGCCGAATCTGTCGATTCATCTTGTAGTGGTGCGTCAAATGCAACGTAGATTCCCATCCAATTAGATTGAATTTGGTATTGATGACGTGAAAAATAATAACGGTAACTCCATTGAAATGATTCAAAACTAAAGTAACGAGCCAATTTTTAAAAACGTAAGGAGTAGAAAGTACAGATATTTGTGTAAAAATGTAAGGAGTAGAAGTAAAAAGTCGCCATAAAAATAAGTAGTAAAGTAAAGCAAAAATATCAGAAAAATCTACTTGAGTACAGTAATGAAGTATTTGTACTTCGTTACTTCCCATCTCTGAGCATAATCCATGTCACGTCCAGGCAGCACATTTGATCCAAAGTTGTCATGGTGAAGCATTCCATATTATATTCCCAAAACAGCGTTGAAAACTGCGGTCGTTGCCATGGGAAGGTCCCGTCGTCTGCATCTGGGCTAGTCTTGCTCTTTTCCACGAGTTATGGCGGATATCCACTATACAGCAAAGTACCTCCTGAACGTTTTAATCATCAGTTGTTAGAAGATACTTCATGCTGAGGTCCAAGATTAAATGTTGGGCGCCAATTGTAATGCTTAGGGTTGTGTTTAAGGAAGAAGAGGGCGGTCAAAAACTCACAGCTACACTGGTACTGGGAGTTCCACAGTGTCGTACTCTAATAAAAAAAGCTCTTCACCAGCTATACAAAGCCTGGTTGAACGGCTGCTATATTATCACACATGACAAATGAGCAGAGTCCAAACAACCCCTAACATTACAAAGAAAAATAAGATAAAATAATATGTCTGTCTGAGTACATGTATCTCTCTGCATCAGCTCTCCCGCTCTCTACAGAGAAGCAGTGGCACATAGCAATACCACACTATCTTAAAGGGACAGTACACAATTAAAGCTGTTACATATTCCCCCCGGTCTAAAAAAAGACTGTCCTCAGCCTCATACTTAACAAGCCTCCCTACAAGGATAGAATGTCAACAGTAAATGAGGCATAGGCAGCACAATAGTGAAAAACCGTCATACATGATAGTTTCCATCAAAGAAAATATCTATTAACACAAACACTGTGTAAAGAAAATAAAGTTAGGATATCCAGGACAGTTACAAAATCAAATTCTCATTTTTTATATCCGAACAATTAGAAAATTTAAATGTGACCCTTGCAAACTTAAACAACAGTCATAATACTAATAAACAAAATGGAACATAAACTGCAAATAAGGTCACTTCAGATCAAACCTGGAAGTATGAAAAGGGTTGGTCCACCTATTGACTGAGCAGTCAGTGGTGACTCTCAGAACACGTCTTGGTCTAAAGTCGTAACAAACACCAACAGAACACCCAGTCTCAGTAAAGGGGAAAACCAGTAACATCTGTCTCCAAAACCGTGGCACTGTTCTGAACCGAGTCTTGATCCAAATTGGTAGGAACAGGGTCAATGTATTCAAAGTCAGTTTCAGCTGGGACGTCGCCAGAGACAATAGCAGTGTCAACAAAAACACTGTCAGGCTCTGGGGAAAAAAGAGTGGGGGGACAAACTGCTGTCTGGCAAACTGAAATCCAAATATTCAGAAGTCTTTTGCATGGAGCCTTTGTCAGATGAGGCTGTAGCCCAGGTGTAGAATGGTTGAAGGTTTGCAACATGAAATACTCCAGCTTTTTTCTCCAGTGTCCACTTTGGTTAGAAAAAAGTTCACATCAGACATCTTTTTGTAGACACCTTAGGGACCCAAGTACAGAGGAGATGATGTGTCCGACTTTGGATGTGATTTTGCTCTGACCAAGTCACCCACTTTAAAAGAGGCTTGGCTTCATCTTAGATCTTAGTAACGCTTCCGCCTTGTATGACTTTCTGCTAGAACCGTACAAGCATGGTCATGAGCATCTTGAATTGAAGCTTTCAGTTGATCCAAGTGAGAAGTCTCAGGAGCATTTGTTCCGTGCCTCGATGGGTGGGTGATGAGGTCCAAAGGAGTGTCCAACTCCCGTCCAGAGCGCATCATTGATGGGCTCAAACCTGTGCTCTCATGAGTTGCAGTACGCAGTGCAAAACAGATCTGAGGAAGGTATTTGTCCCAGCAAGTGTGCTTATCCTCAATATAAGCTTTAATGGCTGTCTTCAGTGTGCAATTCACACATTCAGTTGCATTAGTTTGAGGATGGTAGGCAGTTGTCAGTCTGTGCTTGGTTCCAAGTGTTGACACAACATGCTCAAACAGTTCAGTGATGAAAGGCGTTCCCCTGTCTGAAATAAGGTGGCCATGTCGAGCGAATATGTCTGCGATTAACTTATTAGCAGCAACTTGAGCTGTTGTTTCCCTCACATCGCTTACTTCAATCCATTTGGAGAAATAGTCCACAAAAAGTAGGATATGTGCATTTCCCCTTTGTGAACAGGGTAGTGGGCCAATGTAGTCCACACCTGTGTACTGCCATGGTCTCTGTGGTTGGATTGGGACCATAGGACCTGCTGGTTTTCTTTGACTAGGCTTAGTAGCTTGACATGAACAACATGACACCACAGATTTTTTTACATGAGAGTTCATGTTTGGCCAGAAAAATCTGAGGCGCATACGTGCCAGAGTTTTTGCAATGCCCACATGTCTGGCTATAGGATGATCATGGTAATACTTGAGTAGATAACGACGGAGTGCAGTAGGAGCAAAAAGATTAATCTGCTTGAGTGAGTAAAGACCACACTTTGTGTTGGATCAATGAAGTATAAGAGACTGTCTTGTACAACGTACTTTTGCAGATCTTGGTTTTTTCTTCCTCACTCTGCTTGTCTTTTTTGAGCAAATAGAGCAACACTCCTGTGACTGGGTCCTCCAGCTGCAACTGACGAACATGAGGACGGTCTGACACAATTACAGAAGGCAGAGCATGAAGATCCATACTTCTGATCACGGCATAGGGAGGAAGAAGATCTACCGGCGTATCCACATCAGGAAGGGGATTACGTGACAGGGCATCAGGCACCTTATTACGTTCCCCATGTGTAAATAGTCACATGTAGACCTTCAACATAGGTAAAGAAGTGTTCCAATGCCCAGATAACAGCGAGACATTCTTTTTCCGGAGACAAACAGGGCTTTTCCGATTTATGTAGAGCACAGCTAGCAAAAGCCACAGCTACATCTTTGCCATCCTCATCCTTCTCCATCAGTGCTACTCTAAGTCCTGTATCACATGCATCAGTGTGAATGAAGAATAGACTCGTAAAATCTGTGAACTGTAGGACTGGTGCCGAAGTTATGGCGTGTTCCGGAAAGTCCACAGCTGCTTGGCACCTGTCAGTCCAGTTGAACGTCACATCTTTTTTTGAGAGAGCGAAGAGTGGCTCTGCATTACTGGTGTAGTCTTTTACAAAGCGACAGTAGTAACCTGTTAATCCAAGGGACTGTCGCACCTGCTTTGTTGTGGTCGGCACTTTAAACTCAGTCACAGCTCTCACCTTATCTCCCTTATGCTCAAAGGTTACCTGTGGAGTACCACAGGGATCAGTGCTAGGACCAATTCTGTTTACTACATACATGCTCCCAATCGGTAAAATTGTTAGACAGCATGGGATTAATTTCCACTGTTTTGCTGATGATACCCAGCTATATCTGTCTATAATCCAGATGAAGCTAACCCATTACAGGCATGTCTGAAGACAGAAAAACCTGGATGACTCTTAACTTTCTCCTTCTGAATGCAGACCAGAGTCTTCTTTTTCAAAGACCAGAGTCTTTGAAAAAGAA